TTCCACAATTTTCAAAATTACTCTGCAACATATTCAGCATGACCACTACTCACTCGACTTTATTTCCCTCCACATCATAAATAATTGCCGCTATCTGTCGGATCAATACGATTTAGTAAAACTACCGCGCAATGACCGTAGGGATCGGCTCGATAATCCCTCTCAAAAAAATTACAAAATGAAATTGATAAAATCCCCGAATACTTCCAGTCCCCCCGCAAATGAATTGTCACCCGTTAAATCGTCGACTTGACAGCTGATCACGTCTGAACATGAGCATCATGAGGCTTCACTCGGTATCACCACGTGTCCACTAATCACAAAAACACGAAACTAAATATTCGAAACAATTCCGCTAGTCCGATGTGTGTCGCAGTGTAGCAGCAGTGCAGGTAGACTGTTGCACGTGTCTCGTTGGCCCGGTGACTGTACCGGTGACGCAGAGGCCTTATTTATTACTCCCACTCTCGAGGGTTTAAACGAATGTGCTGCCATCGGAAAACCCCCGAAAACGTTCGTATTGTCGAAAATGTTTGGCTTATTAGGGATTCAGGGGCGAGCGGAAAACAAGCAGACAATGGCATTGTTTTTATAAATGAGAATAGTAATTGTTGCGAATAAATTAGCAATTTGCTTCCGAATGGGTTCTCTTTTTTTGATTATTATTTTACTGTTCTCTTCTTCTATTTTTTCACGTCGTAGTACTATCATCAATTGAAATGTCCTCAAAATTATTTCGTTCTGTCAAATAATTTTACATGCAGACCCTTTCAAGACTCGAATTCGTTAGAAAATTCGTTTGAAGTTCTACTGAACTGTTCTATTCGTTTTTGGCCGATTCTATTGAAATGTGCAATAGAAAATATTCAGTAGAAAAAGTCAATAGAATTAAATTTTTCTAAACAACTTATTTTATTGAGATATTTTCTATAGAATTTCCTCGGCTCACATTTTCTAAGTATTTTCGTTTGATTTTCTTGATGAGAAGAAAATAAAAATAGAATGAAAAAAACTTGGAAAATTCGAGTTGAGCAAATTCTATACAAAATATATGAAAAGAATTAATTATATAGAAAAAACGAATTCTGTTGACTTTTTCTATTAAATGTTTTCTACTGAACATGTCAACAGAATCAGCCAAAAACTAATAGAAAGTTTGATAGAAATTCAATAGAATTTTCTAACGATTTCGATAGGTTTTTCTATTAAATTTTTTCGTGCGTGTAATCAAGGTTCAATCAAGGTTTAATCAGTGTACAGCCGGGATTTAATCAGGTTTTATTCAGGATTTAGCCAGAGTTTAACCCAGGTTCTGTCAAAAGTTAATCGGGACCATGAATCAATATGAATAAGTATTCAACATAATAGACTGGTACCTGAGTTTAATAGAGATAGAGATTTTTTGATATAAAAAACTCGTGAAGGTATTGTGTAACTTGAGAAGCAATGATGCTGTTCTCAACATTTTTCAACTTGATTAAGAAGGCATTGAAATATACTTTTCAAGGCCGGATTTGATTGCTATTACTGACGATTCTTTCAGTAATCATGAAAAAACCGATTTTCTCTTTCAAATCGCATAAACAATGAGCTGTAACTCAACAACGAATTGTGCGTCCCCCATCATATTCTGATAGAATCAAGAGGGATTGTTATCAATTTTCTGAGCCACGACTAATTCCATTTTGATGACAATTTTTTGAGTAATCGTTAAAAAATAGATTTTTGGATAAATATCAACTTTTTCGAATCTGTATGAAAAATTGAGTTTTAATTGGCATTAATGAATTGAGCTTATCAAAGTCCATATACATGAAAAAATGCATGAAATTCGATTGAGCCCTTATAAGAAAATTTAGAAAGAAATTAATGAAAAGCCCACATACATACATATTTAGTTACCCTAACACAAAAGAATGGAAACTTAACTTTGAGCGATTACAAATTTTTTATTCGGAAGCAGAACTCCCTGGTATCAGAAAAAAATACCAGCATAAACTCTCTTCCAAAACCAAAATCCCCACAATTAACAAAATCAACGACTGAATTACTGAGAAATCTTCTCATCACCAAAATTTCATTCTCTAACAAGAAATCTTAAAATTGTTTCCTGAACTCACCTATTTTCAAACTATTCCTTCAATCATAAAAAAGAAAGAAATACGACCTCTCTATGAAAACAAAGTAATTGAAATCTATTAAATTTCAATTATTTCCTAGAATATTAACCCCCTCCGGAAACTCATAAATAAAATACTGTGAAACGATTTTTCGATTATATTTCAGTCCTATTTCTCTTGCAAGGCATGCCTTCACGTTTTAGACTCAATACAGGTCGCGGAATAACGACTCTTTGTTTGATAAGCAGAGTTGATAAAAAAAACATTGTGTAAGTCACGTTCGACGATACGGGTTATTAAACGTGTGCGACAACTCGGAGTTATTTTCCGTTCTACCAACGGCCGAATTCCATTCTACGATACTTCGAACCGCGGAGAGTTGTGATGGTCGGTAAGAAAGCGTGCGAGCTTTTGGAGAGAGTTTGGGGTTTTTACCGACGCTGAGGGTGTCTCTGGTGGTTGATGCGGCCGCTAGACTGCGCTGACAGGCGATTCTGCTGCGCTTGCGCCGGGAAGGGGGCGGATAAACTCGATAGTTGTGCCGGGGGAGGGGAATTGATGAGAATAAGGTGACTGGAGGATCCTATTTACTAAAGATGAAAGAAACGTGAAGTTGTTTTAAATCGAAATATCTTGAAATTGCCTGACCGCTAATCCTTAATTCTGATTGTTCAATATGTGACACGAAGTTATTCACAAAAAAAAAACACGCGGCATTTTCAAATTCTTCAGTGACATAATTTCAAATTCTTCAGTGGTAAATCTTTTTTTCACGATATATATATATATATATATATATATATATATATATATATATATATATATTTCACATGTATATATATTATCGGTGAAATTAATAAATTCTGTCCTTTTTGTGGAGGCCGATTATTTTAAAAAATTGAAGATAATTAATTGAAAATGATAATTTTTTTATAGATTCTTTTACTGTACTTCGCTATTCACTTCAATCATTAGTCGAATTCTCTTTGATTCATTATCAATATTTATAAGGTATTCATGAGAAAATGAAATTAAATGAATTCCATTTTTTCATTTCAATACATGAACAGCCCAGCGCGCGCGAGAGCGCGCGCATAGATCTTATGTAATGAACATTATTGATAATTTGTTCGAGTTAGTTTCAAAGCAACAAGTGTTGGATTCGATTAACGAAACTGAAAATACCAAGAGAATGGAAATTCCAACCGGCAGTAGGAATTTTTACATTTCTCCTAATTCTAGAGGCCAATACGCGGTGCTCAGAAATTTTACCATTTAAAACTGAAGTAAACTACAAATTTTCACTATATTGCCAACGCTTCAAGTAGTATATCCACTCCTTATCAGGGAAATTTATTAATTTCCGTTTACACAACGCAAAACATATGAAAACCTTTCTTCATGGAGGCAGATTCATTGCTTGAAATAACTGATTGAAGATAAAACCATACGTCCACTTCTCATCAGCGTAATTTATTAATTTTCATCTACAAAATGCAAAACATATGAAAACCATTATCATCCATTTTCATGGAGATTCACTGCTTGGAATAACTGATCGAAGATAAAACCATGTAATAATTCAAGGATAATTAAATTAATTTTCATTGTTCGTTATGCCCTACCTATTCACAGAAAAATATTTTGACTTCAAAATTCCAAAAAAACTTCGGGAACTTTAGGAAACTGAAAATAGTCGATTGAGTCGACATTAATTGTCAGCTGTTGGTATTGTCAAATATGACTGATAATTCTGTCTACAGTAGACTCTCGTTATAGTCGCACTCACGGGGCTGTAGGGGCAGCCAATTCTGAGAATGGGACTGTATTTCTCTTCCCCCACCAGGCGCTCACGGTAAACCTAAATTCCGGGAATCGGGAGCGATAAGAGAATAAATTTTACTCCAATTATTTTTCTCTTCAATTTGCATTGAACATTTTTATTAAATATAAAAATTATTTTCATTAAACACTTTTATTAAATTAACAAAATGAATTGCATTGTTCAATACATTCCAAAATTTATTCACTTCATTCAAATAAAAAGCAGGATTATGCACCACTGCAAAGACCCTCTCTTCGTGACAGTCAAGAGTGAACTGAATTTCTCTCTCGCAAATTCATTTTTCCTAAATTTTATTTCCCGAATTTCTTAGAAATGCAAAACAAAGCCCATTCCAAGAAAACACAGGGGCATTTAAATCCACACCTCGGAGGTGGTACGGAGTGGGGGAAGCGCTCGAGCTCGAAAAAATCGATATGAGGGGAATGCGACTATAACGAATGCGACTATAACGAGAGTCTACTGTATATATGTCTCTTCAAGCCACAAATTTCATCCGATTTCAATGCCCTCGGGCTAAATTGGTTCGTTGGGATATTTCCCACCAAGTTCGGACAATTGTCTTCGTCGGGAAAAGGTGGAATCAAGGAAAATATTGATTGAAACGGTAATTACGGAATAATCTCGATTATTTCCTCCATTCTGATTTCGACCAATCAGAGTGCACAGACACATTTCGTACTGATGATTTCCCCGACGCCGGGCCTGTCAATTATTTTCTACGAATTCGACAGATATTCCCCACATTTTAGTGAAGTATGTCACGTAAACCCGAACATCGCACGCTGATCAGCCAAAATCAGAATGGAAGAAATAATCCTTCGAATCGCCCTTGACCTTCAAAATTCATCGGATGTTTTCCTCAAGTTTTCCTGCATATCAACGATCGGGATAAGTTTTACAATAAAACAACACGAGCTGCAAGCTCTGGGTTTAAATCAGAAAATATTTGACGATTCGAAGGTCTAGGGAAAGAGTTCTAGAAAAAAAACATCGGCAAATGGAATTCAGGTTTTCCGTCTTTCGTAGGCACTTACCTTATTGAGCATCTCGTGCTTGTCTTGAATATGCTGGCTGCCATCAGCATGAAGAACTCTCTCCACGGAATTGGGTCTAGGAACCCCATCAAGCTGGACAGCATCTTTCAACAGCGGCGGCGATGGTGGAGGAGGAAGATGATCCTCTACCCCTCTTGTAGCATCTCTTGGGTAATATATTTTCTGTAAAAAAAATATTCAATTTTATCATGATATAATTATAAATGCCAAAAATCAGGAAATTTTTCTCATTCAAGAAACTATAGCTGAGACCGGAGCAAAACATAACACCAGGGAAAATGACTACTTATCACAATTCAGATTTAAAACTTTTTTTGTTTTAGTTCAAGGTCAAATGGTACTGAGGGTGAAACGTCTCTTGTTGATGTTCAGGATCAAGGGTCAAATAATCCTTTGTGCTCTAATGCGTTTGACCCTTAAAATCATTTGACCCTCAAATAGTAATTTTTCCTTATGTTTGATTTCGTAACATTCAGGAAAATTTCTGTTTTCAACTGAAGGTCAAATGACCCATAATGACCCTCCGGGCTAAGGACGGAATGGTCGTGAGGGTCAAACGGTTCATAATGATGTGTGAAGTTGAGGATCCAATCGTTTTAAAGGGTACATGGCCCTTGAAGACACAGAGGGTCAAGGGTCAAATAACCTAGTTGACCCTTGAGTTGTAACTCTTTTGCGGCTTGATACTATTTACCCTAGATCGTAAAATAAGGGTTATTGGTTTTAAATTAAGGGTTGTTGGACCCACAATATTACTTGATTCCTAACCCTAAACGTTCTCAAGCGTCGTTGGACCCTCTAACAATAAAAAAAATCATTTTATATTATGCTAGATACTCGGAAAACATTAAATAAAATAACCTTGATATTCTTCAGAAAATTATATATATACTTTTCAATTCTTCTTTCAATGAAAAACCACCAACTACCTTAAACTGCATTTTCTTCGTGGACAAATGGCCGGCAACCCTCGAGGGTAAAAAAAATATCATCATCGTGATCCCCCGAAACACCCCTATTCCATCGCAATCCGTCTCGTAAACTGATCACAACAACAACACACCCGGACAGTTCAATAACGAATGGAGGATCTGACGTCCCTAGACTCTAATCCCCTCTAAATCCAAGATTGATCGAACACTGAAACGGCTTCAGCTGAAGAACCCGCGTGAAAGTGAATCAACAGCCGGATGAACTATCCAGATATATTCCACCTAACCTTCGCGTGAATGGACTGTTATACTTAGCCAGTGCCTCGAGTTAACTCGACTAAGGCAGAACATTACAAAGAGTAAAATAAACAAATGGAGCCTTGAATTGTTCAACTATAGACTGTGTGGGGTTATTAGGAATTTTTGGCCAATTGCCCTGGATCATGAATTAACCGCTAATGCCTTTTTCTAAGTATAGATCCAACAATAATAAGCAAATTTTACCGGTGTTTTAGGTACTATAGTTGAGGGGAGGAATTATTTCCATGTCCGAAAATATAATTGTGAGGATATGGACACTTGTGAGGTTCTGACCCTTATGACCCTCGTCTCTATTTTATGTTTTAATTTCATATCGTAAGAAGTCGATTCAGAATTTCATATTATAGGGTCATGAGGGTCAGAATTTCCATTGAGAAATTCCATTTTGAGGTTCTGACCCTTATGACACTCATCAGGTTTTTGTGTTTTAATTTCATATGGCAAGAAATCGATGTAGAATTTCATTTTACAGGATTATGCGGGTTCTAGTCGCCAGTGAAAGACTCCACCCTGAGGTTCTCATAGATGAGGTCCTGAGCCTTATCACCCTCATCACTATTCTGTGTTTCAATTTCATGTTGTGAGAAGTCGATTTAGAATTTCATATTATAGGGTTTAGAGGGTTAGAATCACCACTGAAAGTCTCCATGCGGGAGTCCTCACATATGAGGTCCTAACCCTTATGACCCTTATCACCATTTTGTGTTTCAATTTCATATCATAGGGGAAGACGAACAACTTTCATCTGAAACATTTTATGTCATTTTATGTCTTATCGTGTGCATGAAAAAACTATTTTTCGTGGGAAATTGAGATAAAATTGTTTATAACAAATCATTGCCCACTAAAGTGGGAAAAACACTAATAAATTCGAATTACTCGCCCCCGAAAACATAAGTTTCGATCATAAAATTTTGCCGCTCTTCCATGTCCACTGTATTCATTTATCCATTAAAATACAAGTTATATTTATTTCAAGTTTTATTTTAGTTGTGTTTAGATTTGAAGAAACATTTAATAGATGATTTTTAAAAAATTCTACTTTTTTTTCAAATTAATAATTTACATGCATCCTCTCAGCGTGGCTGAACTGAAGTATTATAGTTGTTCACAATTTTACAAGCTACAATTTTGTTTATTTATTTAGTGATGTTTCAATTTAATCTCCATGTATTTTCATTCCAATAAATGTGGACGTCCACATAAAAAGGGAACACTTTGTCGATTCTAGTTTCCGAAATATTCACGTTTTTATGTCAGCGTTATATCCGGAGACCTTGCTAAGCGTCGTAGGGCAACATTGGAATTTTTGTGAACATCGGATATTTTGATTTAAAACCCGGATATAACTAATTTCAATTCTTACAAAACGAAGAGTACTAGACTCGTATTCGTTTTGAGTTTTATTTTTATTTTAGGACGACGCTAGATTTTGGTTCCTTTTGCTTGGATTAGAAAATGATTTTTTTTTTTAATATTCCGGCTCTTTCTGCCCTCTGATTGGCTAATCGGCCCTATCCAACCCTATGCATACGGCTGTGGATTCTACACTGTACCAGGAAACCCATGCCGGTACAGGCGGTCACTATATTAGCGACCTCCCGCTCGGCGGAGCCGCCGGTTGAAAAACTCGGTTCCACGGGGAATTGAACTCACAACCTTTCGCACACTAGGCTCGCACCTAGCCGCTTCGGCCACCGACGTCGGTAGAAAATAAATTAATTTTGGAAAATTATTTGGATTCATTTAGGAACTAATAGCATGAAGGATTTTAGCGTTGATAAGGATTATTGCCAAGAAATTATTAAAACACTTGATTTTCAAAAAGTAACCCGATTAGAATTTATTATTGATTCTATTTGATTTTACAACAAGAGTGAACAAGAATGTTATTTTTAGATGATTCTAGTTCAACATTAGAAAGATTTCTATTCTTATTCTGAAGAAAACAAGTTTGCTTCTAAATATGATTTATGTCGCGCCGTGCAATAAGTCGAGTTTATCGCACGCTGCGCTTCGCGCAGCTTGCTCGAAACTCGACTTCTGCACGACTTGACATAAAATATTATAGAGCACTCGGTAATAAATTTCGTTTTCAACGAATGTGTGTACAGACCTCGCCTTCGGCTCGGTCTGTAAACTACACATTCGTTGAAAACGAAATTTGTGCCCTTGTACTCTAATGTACTATAAACTGGAAAATTTTTGAGTTCGATTTTTAGATGAATTTTTGTTGGTGTGGATTCTTCAACTTAGTACTTGGTGATAACTCAACCCTTTAATCACCTTATCCAGCGGCTGCTGTGACACCTTTAATTATCAGGGTTCTATAAGTCTCTGTAGTTATCTTCTTCCATTGTCACTTGAAATAGTTCTTATATTTGCAAAAAGTCTTCAAAAGTCTTTTGTCTTCAAAAAACAAATCTTGAGTTCGTTTCCTACTAGTCACGACAAAACACTAATTTCGATTTAAGGCTGCGGTTTGCCCACTCGGTTTTAAACACTATATCACCTCTTTTGCGTAAGGTCACCAAAAATAAAAATAAAACTCCATCTTTCTATTGGAGTGTAGACCGAAAGACCGATTTCGCGGATTGAAGCTAATTGATTGTTCTATGGAGTGGAGAACGACTGCCTTTTTTCAAAATTTTTAGAAGCCGTTTGGTTGAAGATTTTCGTGAATTTTAGAGGTGAGGAGTTTATAAAAATGGCGGGTTCATCAGTTGCGCGGCCGGTCAGTGACCGGGGCTTTGTTCTTTTTCTTTTTGGTGACTCTACGTGGAGGTTTTAGCCGTTGCCAAACGGCTGACTTCTTAGTTTCGACATTGAATGATTTCGGAAGGGAATTGTGAAATGTCAATGCGCTTTCAATTTTTTTCTTTTCCGGGGTAGAATGACCCGTATGCATTCCAACGAGTTCATGTAACTCTTATATTCAAGTTTGATTTCGTTTCTATTGAAAATTCTTCTGGAGAAATGAAAATTATTTTGGATATAACATTCCGCAACTCCCATTTGCACCAATGTTAAATTGTTTTTTCTATCTTCTCCAACGACGTCATTTTTGACCTTATGAAGATCATTTTGGGCTCAAAATGTGCGGAATGTTATCAATATTATCAGAGTATACATAACACCATATCGACAAAGTGGTTCGTTTTCATACGGACGTCCACAAATATATAAATATATATATTTATGATATTTTTTTTATAATTAAGATTTGGTTCACTCCGGTTATCCTCCTTGGAACATCAAATATGCTATTCATCACTTGTGCGTAAAGTGAAATTTTACGCACGTTCTGCGAAAAATCTTACTTTTCATACATCGTGATGAAAAATAGGGTTCGACCTCCAAGGGATCAAAAAACACTTTTACGCACTAGTATCGAAATATACTATTATAACCTATTATGTCATCTAAAAGGGAGTCACTCAGAGGATTCTGACCCTATTAGACCATTGTAATTTTTAAGCCAAGCTAAATTGGAAAAAATATTCTATCCGTAGAAGTCGTGACTAGCATACAGATTTACTTCGGTGTTGACGCAGTTTAGCTTACGTAATCTTCATGCTTTATAGTAGGAAATTATGTTTTACGGATCGATAAAATTATATTATTCTTAAAAAAGAAATATATTGCGCTCTTGAGAACCTGCCTGAGTGCAAATTTACCTGAGGTTTCTCCATCTTACATCAAATACAGATTGGTCAACATGTTGTGATTGGAATTTCGGAGCAGGATGCAGCAAGTATCGTAGGAGAGTACCAGGATCCAATGCTGCCCAGTCAATTCTAATCCTATCCTGATCAGTCAGACAATCACTGAAACCAGATTGGATCCTAGCATTCCGATAAGGCTTGCATTCCAGCAAGTGGTTCATTGCTGATCGCAAATTGATCAGGCCCAGGTTTTATTGATCAGTCTCTTACCTGTACCTGATTTCCGAAGGGTCCCAGCAGGAAACCCTCAGTTTTGCTATTTGGCTGTATTCTCATAATGTACGAATGCGATGAAATAATTGAAAAGAAATCTTTTTTAGCTATTGCAACCACTACCTCTGAACGGCAACATCGCTAAAGTCGATTTGTCAGGTGATTCTGATCTACCTCATTGCATGCTATCTAATTTTGCGGGGTGGGGTACACAGGAGATACCGCCAGATTATGCCCTACGATTCATGTCTTTGGTAATTCCGACTCATTAATTGTCCAGAGAATATGACCTACCAAGTAGAAAGAACGAGTTTGACGCAGTTGGCTGGATGAACAAGAGTTATGTGCTTCCTGTATGAAATTATATTATTTGTGAAAGGGTGCAATGGGATGAGTCCATTCGTTTTTTTTTATGTCCAATTAGGGCATCTTGGCAATATCGGATCGGGAGCCGATCTTATATGGAGCATCTGAGTAGGAGGGTGAGATCTTAGCAAGCGATGGGTTGGTGAGAGAGTAAGTCAAGATTGGGCCAATGCTGACCCAATCTCCATAGCTAGTCCCAACATAACATTGTCAGTCCAATGTAGATAAGTAGGTCCAATGTAGCCGACATTGATAGTCAGGACTACCCTAATATTGGCAGCCGATGCCAATAGCTCAATGATGTTAGCCAGTACTAGCCGGATATTGGCAAGCAATATTGGTTCAATGTTGACAACCGGCAGTGGCCTAATCTTGGCAACCAGTTTTCGTTCAACGTTGGCCGCCAGTATTAATCTAATATTACTTATCAACATTGCTTCAAAGTCGGCAGCCATTACTAGCCTAATATTGACTGCCAACGTCGGTCAGCAGTATTAGTCTAACGTTGGCAAAAGGTGTTCGTTCAACTCTCGTCGCCAGAATCAATCTCTCTACCAAAGTCGATCCAACGTCGGCAGCTAGTACTATCCTAACATTGATAACCAACGTCAATGTTCTCAGTCCAAAGTTGGTCAGGAGAATCAGCCTAACTTAGAAACCAATTTTGGCCCAATGTTGGCAGTCAGTACTAGCTCAAGTCAGGGCGTATACTCATATGAAATTCTTTGTGTTTCTCAACGATATTAGTCCTTCAAGTATGGACTACGCAATGGAACCAATAAGGGACTGAAGATTGTGATAGATGGAAAGAATCTTGAGCGGCTGTATCCTGGATACAGCAGTGAATCTTAATGTGAGTCAGTCTCTACATAGACGTCTCCATGTTAAGTCTGAGTATTTTTCAATCACCACTGAATACAGCAACTTTCCGAGGTTTTTCGAATTTTCTAAAAAACCGGAGAATTTTCTCGAATTTCAAGAAATGCTGCTGGCCGTTAGGAATAACTCCATGAATGAGCCCCAACATGAAATTAAAGACCTATTTACATAAAAAAATTGAATTGACTCATTTTGTTGTACTCATTCTCATAGATGTGACAAACAAAAATCATGAAAAAAGTTGTCAATGAAGATATTTGTTCCTAGGGGGATAGTGGCGGTCCAGTAGTCCAAGGAAACATTGCATACGGTGTCTTGTCATCATACAATGTCTTGTAATCAAGATACATGATTACAGGGTGACAGTGGCAGTCCAATAGTTGGAGAGAATATCGTTTACGGCATACTTAGCGCTGGTGTGTGTACTCCAGGAGGACCGATGATTTTCATGAAAGTCTTCTCTCATTTAGATTTCATTCTGAATGCTATGAATGATTCAACCAGTCAAGTAGAATACTGAAAATAACATCCGCGTTTTGCCAAGTGGTCACTTGTTAGAAGACAATTAGAGAATGTAAGAATTGTAAATCGTATGTGGTGACTACGTTCACACAACACCTCTGTCACACACATACACATACAAACAATTTTCATTCCCCAAGGACCTTTTCCAGAATGTTCTAGGAACATTCCTCTCTCTCTCTCGTACAGAAAATTATAATCCTAATTATTGTCTTTCCCTTGGGAACATTCAGAAATTTCGTACAACTCATAAAACCATAAACCTTTCATTCCTCGATCTTAATGACCTATTTATGATACAATTCCACATCATCACCTGGTGTCCTTGTTAATCCCTCGTCCGCCTAGCTGGTGCCTGTGACGTAATGATGGATCCGAAAATTTCCCTGTCGGGACTGCCAAGTCAATCAATCAGAAGACAGGATTTCACTCATTCCTTCTCCGTTTCCCTGACCGATCACAATCCAGCACCAAAACCTCACTGCCCTTAAATACCCGAACACTTGCAACATCGATACAGACACAATTCAATTTCGCTAGAACTCATTTCGCTAACTCAACTTCTCTGGAAACTCAACTGGCTTAAACCCAGAGGAAAACTCCAATTGTAAAAATGTATTGATAAATATATTCAATTGTTACATCATAACCTACTGCCTTCGTCACTCGAGACTCCCTAGCTTACCTACACATATAATAATGGCTACTGAGATCTAGAATTCCTGTTGTGCCACTTTTTTTTTCTAAAGGTCTAACCAAGGAACCCTCATTAGTATCAGTTCTGCTATTCCTGCTGTATACTCATAATCTACGAATGTGATAATATAACTGAAAGAACCTATTTTTATAGCTAACGTATCCGCTACCTCTGATTGGCAACAACGCTAAAATCGATTTGCCACGTGATTCTGATCTACTTTGTGGCCAGCTAACTGATCTTCCGGGGTGGGGTTCACGAGAGAAGCCGTTAAATTTTATCCTGTCATTACTTAATTTACAAATTGCTACGTCTGAAGAGTCGACAGAAGAGTAGAAAGAACGAATTTAATGCGTCTGACACCAGCATGAATGGTTATATCATTGCTGTATGAAATTAAATTGTTTGTGAAAGGGTGCAATGAGATTAGTCAATTCGTTTTTCGTCTCCAATCAGGGCATCCTGACCAGTATTGGATCTGTACACGATCTAATGGTGATAGTCAGTACTAATCTAACATTTCCAGCTAATGTTAGCCCAGCTAATCAGGACTATCCGAATATTGGCAGTTAATATTAGCTCAACGATGATAGCCAGTATTAGCCTAATATTGGCAACCAACATTCGTTCAACGTTGGCAGCCGCTACTAGTCTAATATTACCTATCAACTTTGACCCAACGTTAGCAGTCAGTACTAGCCTAAGTGCCGGCTTATGCAGACACGACATTCTTCGTATTTGTCAACGTTGTTTGTGTATGAAGTAAAGACTACACAATGAAATTAATAAGGGATTGGACGGTATGATTGATGGAGAAAAACCTAAGCGGTTGTACTTTTAATGTAGCAGTTGGACTTAACTTGGACACGCCTATAGGTGGCGCATGATCCACCCAATCTGAGAAACATCTCCACGTAACCTAGAGTCAGCGACTGATGTAAGTAATGATATTGATACGTCTGAAATCAGAGCTGATTCGCTTCTGTCAATCCAAGCCTGATGAAAATGGTAGTAAGTGATCTGGTTCCTCAGTAGCGGATTCAATCCAGATTCGGTCGTCATTTGACTTAACAAGGAAGGGTCAGAGTTGACTGAGTTCTATCGGTTCTAGATACTCATTAGAATTATGATTTGACTTATCAGGATGCGATCAGAGTTGCCAGACTCTGCGTGCTCTCTTCAGAACCTACCCGAATGCAAATTTACCTGACTTGTCCGTATCTTACATCAAGTACAGATTGGTCGAAATGTTGTGATTGGAATTAGAGCGCAGTCTCTGGTGAGGGCTCACCCTCTGGTTGAAGGGCGCATTATTGTAAAGCGATTAGGAAAAGCTTATTGGGCGGTCTTCGAGGTAGGCAAAAAATAATAATAATAATAATGATATATTTTTTGATTTCTTAACATTAACGATTTCATGAAATCACCATATCATTCATGAAATCCCATATCATGGGATTTGGCAGTATATAACCACTTGCATTCAATAGATCATCTCACTCTTCGTTCAGATTCAGTGGTTGATGCAGGCGTTATAAAATTTTTGAGGAATATGTTCATTCTATTTTCCCGATGAAGTTTAGAACCTTCTGCGTAATTTTCTTTAATTATATAATTTAGAATATATAATTGTTACGTAGTCGTTAGACAATATTATTATACCATCATGTAAAATTGAAATACGTGTAAAAATAGCGCTCTGGTAGTCAAGGTCCCTGCCTGCGTTCTTTTCAATGTTTATCTTTCTCCCCAATGATAACGATAAAACAAGGACCAATGAAATTTTATACGATTTGCGACTCTCGCATTCCCGTTCAAATCAGTGGTATATTCAGAATGGAAAATGGCTAACGTCTTCGTTTGCGAAATAGAACAGACGGGAAGTTTAAAGTTGAATTTTTAAATAGTAGAAGAAAAAAGTTTCGTTATTATTGCTGCCACTATGGGGACTCCATTATTTGCAATATTGATAGCAATCACGGTTATTATTCCAGGTGAGAATATGATCAAAATCATTATCGTGCAAAATTGTCCATCCGGATAACGATAAATATATGTTACATTACTTCGTGGAATTTATTAAATTCAATTTATTTATTGCAACTTACAGTGTTACATATTTGGTAAAAGGGATGAGTCCAATGCTTTTGGGGAGACTTTAGAGAGAATATTTCGTAGATTACAATCGGGTTTTGGTATTGAGGCATCGAACGCCAGTTTTTTGGTACAATGGAATAAACTTAGTGTAAAAAGATCTCAGAAATTACTGAAATCTTCCTTTACTCAATCCCTACTGTCGTCCTTTTGATTACAATAATGCTCATCAACTAGTGAATAAATTAGTCTTTAGTATTAGGAAGAATCTGGAGTGGTCAGTAAAGTATTTTGAGTTGAATTACATATATTTGTGATCTGTCTTTAATGTCAAAACATGAATATTCAGTACCAAATTATGCTGAATTTTCAGTCAATTGAGAATTCAACAATATGTTCATCTGAATTTATCTCATTTCTATCAAGTTTCATGGAATAATTGAACTGAAATTTACAGTTTCCATTGATATTTCGATAAAACTTTGAATTGTCAAAGAGGAAATTTCTTGACATTTCAGTGGCACGATAATGGAATGGGAATTTCCATGAAGTGTGCCAAAAATTTCATTCAAAAATGTTCACCCTCAGAACATGAACTTACGCATGTATTCTCATGATAACGTTGCTATCTGTTCTAAATTATCTTGAAATAATAAATAATCCTCAGAGGTATACAGCATAACCAATGGACAACTAGCTCAGCTGGGCGACTTCCCTTATATAGCTGTCATTTTTATAAATGGATATTCTGTTTCTACTGGAATCATTCTCGATGAAACTCGTATCCTCACAAATGCGATAGCTGCAAGTGAGGTAGGACGTTCTGAAATGGTCGTTCAGGTTGGTTATGTTTCATGGTTTCACACGGAGAACGAGCCTTACTCAGTTGACAGTATCCGAATACATCCTCTCTATGACGGGGAAATACATAATATTACAGTTGTGACGGCAAGTACCTCATGCATATATCCATTAAGAAGAATGGTTTATTTGAATCAAATAAAAATCTTTATTTAACATTTTGTTATTCATTTAAAAATATCGTTGTTAAAAATGAAGAAACTTGTTAACTTGTTTTCAAAAGAAGGATTTCATAACATCAAATGAATAATTTGTGCGTTTTGAATAAAATTGTTTCCTGACTGATGCCCATTTTTAGGCTTTTTTCAGCCTATTTTTAGACGGTAAGATGGCGTTTTTCCAACTCGACGGCGAACAGCTGTTTGCAGTCTGTTAAAACCACTTTCATCAGACAGCCGTAACTGCTCAGTGTGAAGTGGAGCCTTTTTTCAGACTGAACACAACGTGAACTGAGCCGAGTATGGCTATCTCACGTTCTCACGTGATACTATTGCGTCAACCATTTCTATAGTCGTGCGAGCATTGACGAGAGCTGGAAGTGTCAAAAGTGAAAAGATGGAGTCGAAAAAATGCGTAATTATACCAAACAGTGATGGAGAACGAGAAGAATCTCAGGATATGTTCGAAGAGGAACCCAGTTGTACTTCGACGTCGAGTGTATCAGTGAATTTGAGTTTAGTGAGTTATCAACACCGTGTAGACAGCGATGATAACCTCCCTGACAACAACGTCTCGCAGGACGTTCTTGATAACGCTCGTGAGGCTGAATCTCGTACAATTCGACAAAAATCAGTGGATGAACACCCGTTGTGTTTTACAAATAGCCACAATACCCCACCTGACAACAGCATCCCGCAGGATGTGTTGTTGCGTTGCTTTCGTATACTTTTTCGATTTTTTCTTCAGAGAAAAAATTTTCTTTGTTTTTAAATTTCAGAAATGTTATCTTTTCATTTGTTCACTTTTTGTTTTTTTTCAGGGGGGGGGGCTCCGCCCCAAACCCCAACCCCACCCCGCCGGGAGCTGCGCCCCCGAACCCCGCTTTTCTCACCCCCCCATCAACGCACATGAGAATGGGCATTCGTGAGGAAAAATAGTATATGTCATTCGGCTGAAGTCCTCCGATTTTCCAGACTACGTTCAGGTCCTAGCACTCGGCACAGTTCGGGGGGACTCGACTTCGCCTCGTCCCTCGAACCATGCCTCGTGGTACGACCTGAACGCAGTCTGGAAAAGCCTCGGATTTCAGCCTTACGATATAAGATACTCGGATTGAATTCAAGAAAACAATCCATTTATTTCAAATAAATCGTTTATTGAAATCAAATAAGAGCAGATCTATGCCAAATTCCTGAAACACCAATTTTCTGATTATTCTCTTGATTATCCTTATATTACTATTTCGTACAGTTTATTAATCGACAAATGAATTTTTATCAAGTTCAAAGAAAAAAGGTATTCAGTTTAAATAAAGAAATTTTCTTAAGATAGGAAAAATGGTTATTCGATATTCATAAGGAATTTATTTGACGGAAATGAACATTTATTAATAATAAAACAACAATTATTCAATACAAACAGAACCTCAAATACAGAAATTCTCTTAAATTGAATAAACACTTTATTTCGTACTATTTAAATAAAAAATTTTATTTGATTCAAATAAATTATTTTTCTGGGTGTCCTTTGTATTTGTCACACGAAATACGGAATACTCACATCCACATTTTTGAATCTGTTAAGATTTCCGGATCTATTATATGGAGTTCTACAGTGCAACCGATTGCAAAGGGGACTCCACCACAAGATGAGTGCCTGGTATGTAAAATGGTTGGATGGCAAGTGGATAACCGTAATGGATTCGATTTAAATTTGGCATGGAGTTCTGTAGGAATTTTGAGACGCGAGACTTGTGAGCGATTATTAATAGATGAAACTGAATTATGTTTATTGCACGGCGCGACATAAACGAAATTTGTGCCCTTGTACTCTAATGTACTATTCCAGACTATATTTTCAGATTCTACTGTAACCCATATAAGGATGAATATGAAACCACTATACATATAGAACATTGTTTCGTTTGTCACGTTATTTGTCTGCTTTGTTTTTATTGCAGGAAGACATTGGTTGACCAATAGTTTGCAATGGAGCGCTGGTTGGAATGATCGACCCTGATATAAACTCCAATCCTTCAAGTAACTTAGCTGTGATGCTCGTCGTATCTGATTATGCCAGCTTGATTCATGGAAATTGACGACGAAATTGTAAATTGTTGAATTTCTGTTTCTCCTCAACTCAAAAAATTTTCTGAAATTTCATATGATATATTGCGACAATAATTTCTAATAAATTTTCGCCTGAACATTTATTGATTGAATAAACATGGGGTTTAGAATAAATTCCAGAACAAGCTTCTCTACTGCTCTGTTCTATCCGAAATCTATTCTTCATTGTCTTTCCTTCTCCCCCCAAGGAGCTGACTCTGTGTCGATTATACCGAAAGAGATGCAAAGTGACGGTAATTTTTCACATGCGTCAAGGCAGCCCTAAATTAACCATTTTCTCACCATTTCTGAATTGCACGAATTTTTTGCTTTCGAATGGAAGCATTCGATATGTCAAATATGAAATTTCCATTCTTTTGTGTGACCATGACTAATTTTGTTCTTAGGAGTTCGAATATACTGTTTTCATTTGATACCCATTGGAACTTTTTTTTGGTGAGTACGTACCTCAAGGGACTATTCACAGGCGAATTGAGTGACACCGCGATTACAAAATGTAATCGATTATCCAGGATTACGCGACTGATTACACTGATTATGACACTGAGAGAAAAATTTCCTAATATGTAGACCATATTTACTTGAGAGAAGTAAATAATTTTTAATGGTTTAAATTTCAGAATATTTGAGGTTCACGGAACTCGAATGAATTCTCATTTATCACTATCGTTGCGCATTATATGATGAATATATTGCATATCGAAATATTGGAACTATATAACAAAAAAAATATGAAAACAATAAATACTTTAAGTTTGACGATTCTTCTACGCGATTTAAGTGAGCTCATTTGCGACAAAATCATACTTGAATACAAGAATATTTTAAGGCATGAGACCTTTCTCGGGCCACGTGAATTGAGATACCTGGGAGAATTAAACAATTGAAGGAAAATTACTTGTCTCAAGAAGATATGTTTCAGATATTAGAAAATTTTTTTCTCGGTGCATGACCTATGTGATAACCGTGATTGCCATGAGCCCAGAATGTGATTACATGATTACAAATAATTTCGTCGATTACATTTTGTGATTGCCAAACATCTGTAATAATTGAAATCACAAAAAATGGCCTCTTATTAAATATGAATTGATGGAATAATTAATTATTAGAGCCTGCAAAGAAATGAGAAAGGAGGGGTGGGGATTAGAATAGAAGAATGCAGTCTCCATCACCCATCTAAAAATTTGGGCATTTATAAGTGCCATCAGCAAAATAAATTTACTGAATATCTACCATTGATGGAGAATGAAACTTACCAGAAGATAATTCAGAGATAATTCAGTCGTTAGTTTTCCAGAATAAGAAGAAATTTTAACTCTGTTGAATCAATTATCTACGGACAAATGCTCTGTGCCAAACGCATTGGCTATGCATAATTCTGAACCATAAACATCTGGGATTCCTAGAAAAAATGATCCAGGGATCTCTGAGACATACCGTTGGTAGAAATGACGCGCTCAAAAATTCAAAAACAAAATTCATGGTTTCATTAGGAGCAACTACGAAAGATTACACTGATTACAAATGATTACAGTGATTACAAATGATTACCACTTGATTACCAAAACTTGATCACAAATATAGTAATCATGTGATTACAATGATTACATTGATTTCACTGGGATGACAATTGATTACATCAGCGAGTGACACCACGATTACGCCTGTGAATAGCCTCTGGATGTAGCTAGAAAAGAGCTGTTTTATCTTACCAAAAGTCATCCATCAAATTGTATACGTGCATGAATAATTCGGCTTTCATTCGGTCTTATTCCAATTGTCAAGTAAGTTCAATTGTTCCATAACTGTTGGAACATAGTGCCTGCTCCCGGTTCTGTATACCTGTACTATATATAGGTATCACACATATTGTTCATAGTACGAGGTAAATGGTGGACATGCGCTGGTCGCCCTAGCAACCATAGCTTGGCTGTGCCCATCAACTTCGCCACGAGACACGAATGTAATCACTGCTCTCTAAGTAAATTCATTTTTTAAACATGACTGTGAGTGATTTATTCGATGTCCGGAAGATCCCTTGGAACCAACAAAAACAAAACATTGATCATTTTTAGATGAAAATGCGATATACAATGGTAAAATCGCGGAGGAAGGTCAGGTTTTAAATACATAGTATCTATCTTCACAAAAACATTATCTATGGAGGTGCCGTAATAGATGAGTACCATATTCTAACAGCTGCTCATTGCGTGGACAATACCCAAGGTGAAGAGGTCAAGGTAATTTCTGGTGCAGCCCATCTGGTGCGCCATGGAAAGCCACTCATTGAATGAGCATAATAGAAATACATTCAGAATATCGCCAATCGAGAGACAAACAGTGGCTAGCTCAACGGACATGGCGGTTGAGACCACTGTTGAAACGGTGTTTTCGAAAATTTTTACCGAAGAATGGTATTGCTGTACTCAAGGTCCTCAAAGTGATCGATTGCAACTACATCTTCATCATTTGAGTAGAGTGATGCGTTCAGAAACAAATGAAATCATTACATTTTTGAGTGACTGAATGAGGCTTGGTTACTAAATTTGATTCCGTTGGCCAGCAGCAAGGCGCTCTAACACTATAGCAGTAGATTCTTCTGAAATCGGGCGCGAGTTTTCATTCAGGAGTTTACTATCTTCAATGTTGGAAAAGAAATGCATGTAAACACCCGCGTATTCATTTTGTCATAATCAATACAGAAATGTTTGTACAGTAAATTAAATGCAAGAATCACAGAGAAAATAATTGCGTAAGAATGAGGTCAAGCACGATGAGTCCTTTGACATTGTCACTTTTTGCTTTTGACTGAATTTGTGAAATATTTTCCAAAGAGTCCAACATGATCGACAAAGCTGACACTAACCTTTGAGGGTTTCACAAAAGGCAAGAAGACTCCGTTGAAAAATTATTCAACTGTCTCAAAATCATCAATAATAGCAGCATGACTGCCAACACACCTTGGAATTGCTTTTTTTTACGGCTTTGTGAGTCCCCCCTTTCGGGTCTCATTTTGGCACTCTATTCAACCCTATGCATGCGGTTGAGGATTCTACACTGTGCTGCATTCGCACTCCTACAGAACATAGAGGTAGTATGGGAAACCACAGAAAACCCATGGCGATACAAGCGGTTACTCTATTAGCAATCCCCCGCTCGCCGGAATCTTACTTTAAAAAATTCGGTTCCACTAGGAATCGAACTCACAACTTTTCGCACACTAAACTTACGTCTAGCCCACTTAGTCACCGACGTCGGTACTTGGATTTGCTTAATTTGCGTTTTTGGGTCAGTAATTGCTTGGATTTACAAGTGGACAATCGTTCCAACTATTCCGGCATTCTTCAATATTTCCATTAATTTAGTGACACGATGCACTGAAAGCCACCAGCGTTAATCTAAATTTGGCGGCCAATACTAGTTCGAGGTAACGAAACAATGAAAGTATAACGTTTATGTCTCTAAGGGTCATAAGAGTCATGCAGAAGGTTAACGGTTCCAATGAAAATTTCAGAATAAAAAACTCTTATTGCAAGCTTAACGAAACCACAGGAGCAGTGCCACTAGCATGATTCTGATATAAACGAAACATCTTGAAATTGCTTAATTTGGGTTAGTAATATAATTGTTGGGTTAGTGATAGCTTGCACTTTCAAGTCGACAATCGCTCCCACCTCCCCAGCATTCTTCAACATTTTAATCAACATAGTAACAGCATCCACTGAAAGCCCCACACTCGTATCGATTATTTCACCCTTAAACAATTCCTTGCCCTCGCCCTCCTCGATTCCATCATGAACGCATATTCGCACCATGTGCACAATAAGCTGCAGTACCCCAGGAACCAAGAGGAAATTAATACGGAAGATAATGCCATAGTGCTCTGACGCCGAAGACAAGAACACAGGAAATGGGAGAGCCTGTCGCGTCAGGTGGATGCGATGGCACTCCCCTCCGCCCTCCACGTCATTCTCCATTTCCCCATTTTTATACATTTTTTTCTCACCCTTTTCCACGCTTCGTGATACAAAAGGCGGAAAGCCAATCGAAAGAATGGGGAAAAAAGTGATGTAACGTGTTTCTGGCACTGACGCGAGTAGAATTGACCTTTTGATCGGAAAATTGGTTGTTCAACCATGACTCGAGCTGACGAAAGATAAAAACAAATGTAACAAAAAGCTTGGAACAGCAGCTAGCTGGTTGTAAAAAACAATATTCACACTCGAAGAATTCTGTAGCCAAATTTTCCGGAAACAATAATCTCCGATGGATGAGGAAGGAATCACTCATCCGGAAGGTAAGTTACCGACTTGGAAGGAAAATGACAGTCACGCAACGGTGATCGGCGGTGCGCGGGTGGCGGGCGTTGGTAAACGGGAGCGCGTCAACTACCGACACTGGGAATCGATCCAAAAGAGACGCTTTCAGGGGCGTACAATGAGTATAACATTTCGAGGTTCCAAATGGAACCATTGTAATTTTTGAAATAAAAGTTTCCAGATTTTTACGTTAAGATGAATATTAATTTCTGGGCTCAGTAGTTCGAATATAATTGTTTAAAATCATTTATGTATGTATGTATATGATAGATTTTGTCACATTTGTTTGACAATGAATTTATTAAATTTCATCCATTCTTCAAATTGGTTAAATTGTAGCTTGAAAAATTCGATTCAATGTTATTTCGACCGAGTTCGAAAATGCTGATTAATAATGTGATAATGAACGATGATTGCCTCATTCATTACCCCGGGAACGAGAAGCCTTATCAGCCAATATTGAACCAATGCTGCCCCAACATTGGTAATCAATCCCAGCGAATTGGTCCAACATTGGCAGCCGGTTTTGGCACTACCTTGGCGGTCTGAGTAAGAAAAGTAACTGATTCAATAGCAAAAATTAATACACCAAATCATGATAAGAACTTCACTGTTATTTAATTTTCTTCTGTTTCACCTGATTAATGAATGAACAAGTAGTACATGTAATGAGATGAGTGAATTTACGAACCTGGCTTTGGTCAACAGGGACATCAGGGCTGGCCGACCTGCGGCCATAAATGTTCAACAGTGTCTGGGTCAGCGGGAAAGCTGACGCTGGACCACCCTGCAAAATTATGATCATGAAATGACGAATATATGATGAATAAAACAAAACTCAGTCCGTACAACTTTAGTAATCATGGTTGAGTTGGACGGATTTTTACGAGTTTTTATATTTTTATTTTACCCCACGGATGACATTCAACCAACACCTGACAGTACCAAAGATGGACGCATATGCTGATAAACGTCAGCTTGGCGTGTTATTCTACTCTGAAATGTCACGTCAGAGAGATAACGGATATTTTCAGTTTATAATGACGATATACTGCGGTGATTTTCACAGTAAATAGAAGCGGAGTGAACGTGTGGCGATGGACTTTATTGAAAAATGAAATAAACAGTTTATGGAATTACCGGGGGCATAAAACACGTCGAACAATCACGAAAGTTTTTTTATTGGCAAGACGGGGAGATTTTCGATTCCAAACATCACTTGACACCCCATTTTTACTGGCTGAACTTTCTAGCTGTGAGTGAAAAACTTTTTGACTTTCAAACTATTTTTGTGATATTGCGAAAACTTTTAGATGGGAAGGGGTCGTCAAGTAATGTTTCGAATACGTAATTTTTCGCTGTATAAAATGGGAGCAGTGTCTTTTAGCTCCGCTCATTTACTATGATGAGGTCGGAATTTGGATTAGAAAAGATTTGAAAACAGTATTAGAATGAGGTTGACCTTTATGAAGGTCACAAGGAGGTTCGTCCTTCATGGACCTTATGACCGTGGTCCCTTATGATGGATTAGGATGGATTTTTGGCCCTTACAGGCCACAAGGTCCGAACGAGGTCAATACCGCATAAGGGTTAGAAAAAGACCTATTAGAATGATTTTGATGTTTATGAATATGTCGCGGCTCTATGACAGCGGAAGGGTTAGGAAGAGGTTTACTCAGATGAATTTGGTCCTTATAAAAATCAAGAGTTAACCAAGGTCATCATCGCATAAGGGTCAAGAAGAGGTTGATTAGGATGAGTTTGACCCTTGTCAGATGGTGTTACCGCAGCGTAAGGGTTGCAAGCAGCCGGATCCTCGTAGCCCTTGCAGTCACATAAAGATCAGAAAAGAATCTGACAGGATAACTTTGGTTTTCATAACTATAAAATGACAGCCAAGTCTTTTACCGCTACTCATTTATTGTGATGAGTTCGGAATTTGGATTAAAAAGAGTTTAAAAGGAGTCTATTAGGATGAGGTCGCTCTGACCGAAAAATTTTTCAACTCCAAAAACTATCTACCCGATATCGCTCAAGCTCTTCTAAAAAACGGGGTCATGAATTAGCGTTTGGAATCGCCAATTTTCCGCTCTATGTAAAGACTCAGATATTTTTTACCCCTCAATTTTCTTTTCCAAGAATAAAGGACAATCTGCCTATCGCTCAAGGCTACGTCGGTAATAAAAAAAAATGGTATCAATTTCCCGTAATTGAGCAGTATTAAGAGGGATGCGAGATAGAATGGGATATAATAAGTAAAGCTTTTGCCGCAGATATTGCGGTCCAGTAACAAAACCCCAGGGGCATACCTAAATGGAATAGGACGAGGTGCCGGGGTGGCTGTAAGCCCACCAGCGATTTAATTTACTTTTCTAGTGATTACCCAGTGCTCCTCTCTCACACCATCATGATCACAATTTATTACATCTATTCAGGTCATTGGGGATGTTCATGAGGCAGGCAATACCGTCGGCTATTTTTACCCTCCCCCTCCCGTTCCCACCGCCGACTCCCTTTTGCTTCTTTCATCGGTAAGAAAATACTTTTACCGAAGGAAATAAAAATCTGAGTGAAGCTCAGGGAAAGCCTTTCAACCATCACTACCGAGATGCAATGAAATCGAACTCCGTATGTTTTTTTCTTACTCTAGTTCCCTCAGGATTTTTTTATAAGCTCTGGTACTTCAGGAAACTCCAACGTTCGATTACAAATCCCGTTTACTCGTGGCATTGCCTGCGAAACTGTAACTCTATCGTGGGCTTCGACTATTGCAGAGTGGAAAAAAATCAAGGGGATGCAGAGGAAGAAAAAAAATGAAATCGTAAAAGTTAATGGATTTGGAAAGTGGAATCGATTAATTTTTACATGTTGTGGGGGGAGTTGATCGAGGATTTTGTAAGGAAATTTGCATATAAGCTTGGTGATAAGCAACACTTATCTGGGTTAGACGATGTTAACATGGCATTAGGGTCACAGATGTTTGACCCTCATGGCCCTTAAAGTTGTATGAAGGTCAGGAAGGGGTCTTCTCAGAGTAAGTTTGACTTTTATAACGGTCATAAGGGTCAAACGGGTTTATTACCGCATAAGGGTAATTCGGATTAGGATGGGGTTGACTCTTATGAGGGTCACAAGGTTGTTCGTCCCTCATGCCCTTACGACCGCAATTTATTATGAAGGATTAGCACGGATTTGGTCCTATTATAGGTCACAATTTTGACCCTTGTAAGGATCACACATAAAAGTCAGATGGTGTTACCACCGCATAAGGGGCATAAGGATTTTCAACCCTTGCGCGTCTATGACCGCGTAATAGGGAGGAAGGGATCTATTTAGATCAATTTAAATTTTACCTCACAAAGGTCAAAAGAGTTAACGAAAGTTATCATCACGTAGGGGTTAAGAAGTTGATCAGGGTGAGGTTGATTCCTATCAGATGGTATTATCGGCGCATGAGGGTCACAAGCAGGGTGACCCTTACAGTCACATAAAAGTCAGGAAAGGATCTTTCACAATAAGTTTGACCTTCATGAGCGTCGCGAGGGTCACACAAGGTTACCACCGCATGAGGGTTACGAAAAGGTCTGCTATGATGAGATTGGCTCTTATGAGGATCACACACAAGGGTCAGATCGTGTTACCTCTGTACAAGGATGGTAAGTAGAATTTTCCACTCATCCCTTAAGGGTTACGAGGGTCAGTCGACATTATATCACTAAATTCCCCGAGAGCCTTTCAAAATTTCCATCAATTACGTTCCAATCTCACCGCCATTCCATCCCCATTATTTTCATGCAAAAAATCTCATGATGAAGCAATGAAAAAAAAAATATTACGAAAGAACGCGGCGCATCAGATATGGAGGGAAAAACATTTCCCGTATTTTCAATCTCACTAATTCCGGTTGGTGTGCCACTCACCGTCTGATGTACATATAGCATCTATACTAGGTAGTGAAAAAGTAGTATGAGATTTGCAGCGTCAGCCCTTGGAATAATGGAGGGACGGTGGATGGAGAAGGTGTAGAACGAGAGAGTGGGATAAAAGGTACATCGAGGCTGAAAGTGGATGCTTCAAGTTGTGAAAAACGCATACGCCAATATGCGTCAGGCCTTACCGAGTATGATCATGGTTTTTTTTTATTTCTGTTTTCATCTGGAAGATGGGAAAGGAAAAAAAACAATCGAAAATATCACGCGTCAAAATGCGAACGTCAATATTGAAATTCCGCCTTTTATAGGTTCGAATGTTTCATCAATTTTTTCGTAGACAGTCATAATTCTGACAAGTTCCACCAAGAATTATTCGTTATTCGACTGACAGCGAGCTTTTCTGATTAAAATTTGACGCAGCAACAGAAGGTTAGAACGACCTCATTTTAACCGTGTTTGGCGGTCTGGCTTAATGCAGGGAATAAAAATGTGAGGGACGAGGGACGGAAGATAATGGCTGCGGGGGTCCGGAGAGAAATGGTTTTGTTCAGGATAACAAGCGAGGCACAATGGTTATCAATAGAGGTCCTTTCCTCGTTTCAAGGAACAACTTTTCTCATTTTTATAGATTATGAGGAAACAGGTATTTGTGAAGATCAGGTTATCAGGATTGGAATAAAAATTGATCGAGTGCATTTATCACACTTGGTTAATGGTAATGCCGAACCTCCGGATTTATTGATTCCTTCAAATCTACTCCTGCTTCCAAAAAAATTACACATTCTAAGTAGATTGTGAACTTCGCAACTCCCATTCCCTTCCCTCAATAAATTATAAAATGGCCAACGACTAACTTCACTAACAACTTATATTTCACCCCGGGGACTGGGCATGAGTCGACCACCGACCGGACGACAACACTGGTATCAAGTACACCTCAAAATAATTTTCTTCTTCTTCGTTGTAAAGCGTCCAACAAAGTTGGGATTTGTCCTAGCTGGCCACAGGGTGTTTACCACCCACCACTCCTCTCTCTTTCACTGAAAGTCCGGAGCTTGTCGGGAATAGTTTGCGGGGGAGTCACCCCTGTATCTTCTGGGGTTGTATCGACAAAACCCTTCAACACCGTCCAACTTCAACTTTTCTGGCAGTAACAAATAGATTCTCCCTTTTTCTTCCCCGGAAATGATTTCTTTTTTTTCTATCCCTCGATTTTCTTCTTTCATTTCTGTATTGCGTTCGTTTTTTTTCACCTGGCAGAAAGGACACAATTTTCTCAGGAAAGTTATATATCGAAGCTGAGAATGGGTCTTGAGAATGACGTTGAGTGCACCAGCGATACCTGGAGTACTTGGACACACGATACCAAGTGGATTTTCTCCTCTCTGATGACCCTGCTGGGCGAAATTGAAAATAAACTCTCAAGTGGCTCACTCATAGGATAAAACGACACGTGTAGTTCGGGTTCGTTTCAAATTTTCTGAGGGGGATAAGTAGAAAAATTTGAAAAGGGATATTGGATGTAGACTGCTATTTTGGATGGTTTGAACTATTTGATGTTGTTCAGTTTCGTGAAGATAGGGGATTACGATATTTGATGGAAGTATGTTTGGAGAACTAGTTAGGAGCTAGCGCAAATTTTACGAGAGAAAATTTTGCTCAGTTTGTCTTTTTTTAAATTTGCTACTGATAGCGAATTTCTGATTAGTCCCTGATCTGCTAAATTGTGATCCAATATTATAGAATAGGATCTGATACTGATCAAGAAATCCTACTTTCATCAGATCGGATTAGAATAAGATCTCATTATTGATATAAGGTCCTATCTTAATTGGATGAATTCTAAACCAATATG